TTGAAAGACAATTTTCAGGAGCAGGATTAACTATTCAAGAGAGAAGAAGTAATCTCAATCCTGAGCAACTCGATAATATTTTACTAGTACGATCTATGCAAAAATATGAAGATTTTTTTAAAATATAATTGTTATTATTTCTCGGGTTCATCATGTTGTTTTGAAGTGAACAAAGCTTATACTAGTAAAACATCTACATTTTTACGTGCCACTTTTTTTCTGCTACTGTTTGTTGTATAAGTGCCATCGTATCGATGAAACACTTGTAACTAGTGTTTATGTATTTTTTTATCATTTATGTGTTATCAAAGTGTTCTGTTATTATATTTATTCTTTTTTGTCTTTATCAACTTAACTGTTATTTAAAAATAGAATTGTGATGACTAAAAACTACAAAGAAATAAATTGGTCATATAATCTCAAAGAGATGCAATACATGCCTTACTTAACAAAAAATTAAACATGCATTGTTTTTAATACATAGTGTCCTGTCCTGTCCTGTCCTGCCCTGCTGAGCGGCAGGATAGAATTATATCGTGCGGTGAACAGGGCAGGAAGACACTAAAAATTTTGTCCTGACCTGCTGAGCGGCAGGATAGGATTATAGCGTGCGGTGAACAGGGCAGGAAGAAACTGAAAATTTTGTCCTGACCTGCTGAGCGGCAGGATAGGATTATAGCGCGCGGAGAACAGGGCAGGACGGAAAATCTTGTCCTGTGCTCATCTCTGATTCACACCCACATTGACACATATCCACACACATCACTCCGCTATCACGCCCACCCATACCAACACCCCACATCCACACCCAACACCCACCCACACCCGTCCACACCCACACCCACACCCACACCCACACCCACACCCACACTCACACCCCTCCACACACGCACGTGAAAATAGTTGTTTCGTAGAAATTCACGGAAAGTATGAATATTCCAACATTTTTGTCAATGATTGATAATTCTTCTTCCTAGTCTAGTGTCACTAAAATCTATTGTTGTTTTTTTCCAATATCATAGAGATTGCAGGGCATAATAGGATAACATATCAATGAAAAGATTCCAACATATTTAGGTAGTGACACGTGACTTGTGTAAGTTGGTATTTTACATATGATAAGGACTGAAAAACGTTATTTGTATATAAAAACCGCGAGTACTCATTATTGTTGCATACAACGACAGCAGTACAGGTAAACATATCATAACTAACGTAAACGTTAACTTCCAACGTAGATTAATTAATTCAGTCTTTTTTCATTACAATATTGATTGAGAATCAGAATTAGTAATTTAGCATGCGAATTAGAAGAAGTGATAGAAAGGTACTTCATTTGGCTAATATTCTCTTCCTTTTGTTTGTTTTGGCTTTAAAAAAAGACTAACTTCAGTGGCATTATTCATGTAGATCTTCAAAGAATGCTTTTCTGTGAATTGAATATAAATTGTAGAGACCATTTTGCACTTCTAAGTTGTAGTGTTTATCATCATAGTTGGATATATCCTACTATAGGGAAAGAGACATTTCGCACCAATTTGTCATTGCTATCTTCCAGTGTTGGAGTTCCTTATGATTTTCGAACAGGAGGAAAAGACGGCAGAGTTTTCGACTAGGTCCACGGGAATTCGAAATGACAGAAATTATCCGAGAATAAAAAAAAACAGATTGTTCGTAATAAAAGTTGTTACAGACAAAGATCATTTACAAACACCCGGGTACATGACAAGAATTTGGAATGACTTACGAGGTAACATCATTAAGTGTGAGTCTCAGTTTTGAATGGATCACATTCCAGTTTGTAGAGCTCGACGAGCTGATTCTTGCGGCATGTTCTTTTTTTTCCATAGATCTCCAAATGAGAAAAACTAATCGATTTTAATAGTGAATTTCTTCTATTACAAGGGAAGGTCCACAATCGTGACTCATCGTTTCCAATCTAGTATTTGCTACATTGTAGATCTCAGTCAGTACAACATGTAATGTAAAGGGTTCAGTCTAATAGGAGACTTTTAAGGAATTACAAGGTACCGTAGAGGATGTCTTATATTAACTAGGAATAAAATGTTAATGGTATTCTTCATACTTTACTTTTATATAGAGAGCCGAAAATTTCACTACATATATATATCTAATGAAGACCCTTTATTCTTGAAATTTTCAACTCTCCAATTATAACTAGCGGTGAAATCCATTGACGAGATTGAAATACATAAATTTTCGTAAGTGATTTTTCATTATACAGTGGAAACAACCCAGATATCAAGTAAAACAAATGTACTTAAACGCTAGTTATAACTGGAGAGTTGAAAATTTCAAGAATAAAAAGATCTTCATTCGATACATATATGTAGTAAAAGTTTCAGCTCTCGTTATGAAAATAAAATATGAAGAATACCATTAACATTTTATTCCCAGTTAACATAAGACATCCTCTATGGTACCTTGTAATTCCTTAAAAGTCTCGTATTGGAACGAAACCTTTACATTGCATGTTGTACTGACTGAGATCTACAATATAGCAAACACCATATTTGAAACGATGAGCCACATTTGCGGATCTTTCCTTGTAAGAGAAGAAATTCACTATTAAAATCGATTGGTTTTTCTCATTTGGAGGTCTATGAGCAAAAACAGAATATACTACGAGAATCAGCTTGTCGAGCTCTACAAACTGGTATGTGGCCCATTCAAAAATGAATCTCACACTTGAGAATGTTCCCTCATAAGAGGCAGTACTTGCCAACATACGTGATTATTGAGTATGGGCGTGAATGATATTCTTTTGTCGTTCCTACCCATACTCACATTCACATACTCAAGAAGATGATTGTTTTTGGTAAAAAAAAAAAAAAAGAAGTTTTTAAAATAGTTCAATGAGAGAAGCTTAATATTTTGTTACGATAGCAAGTGTATTGCTATGTTTTCAATACTAAGTATTGTCACTGACAACGTTTTATGGTTTGAGTAATTGAATGAAGGTGATATGGGTGAAGTACAAGTGTAAATATGAATGTGAATATGATAGAAAAGACTCACAATCACAAATCTAGACGTAGCCCCACCCCCTCATACACACCCAATTATCATCATCCCCAAGTCTGAGCACAATTTTGTGCAAAAGAAACATTGATTTCAGTACGTCATAGAAAAGTCCCTGTTAGAAGATAAAGGTATCTATCTATTGAGTCAGGCGAATAATGTTCCAAAAGATAAAAGTCTTTGATTTGCTACATTATTTTCTATTCAAACTACCATTTTTTTATTCTTGATATTTAGGTTCAAACGAAACGAAAAACTCCGTTGGTTTCAATACAAAAAGATGCAATTAAAGGCAAGTGGTGTTATTCTTGTTTGTTTATTTCATTAATATTTTTTTGCCGAGAACTAGATTCTAAAAAATTTCTGTTAACATCTACATTTCCACTGCTGAAGAATCTTTCGACACGCTAAATCAAATTTATCGAAGCGATAAGGCAAATTATTTACAACTACCCCAGAAAATAGAGAATACACGACATCAGCATAAATTAGCACAAGGAAGGATGGAAGAGACTTATCAGAATATAATGGATGAGAACTGTGACCGTAGTATGAAATTGAAACATGTTAGGGATATAAGATATTCAATCCAAAAAAGAAAGATGAATTTTCCACTTGAAAATCTTGTTGCAGCTTTAGAAAAAAATCACGATGATTTGATTAAATCTGAAATTGTACAAGCTTTAGCATATCAAATTAGAAACTGTTCTGAAAATAGTGAAGAAACACTAAAACACAAAGAACTTATTCATAAGATCAAATCTGTCATAGACGAATCGAAAGTTAAACTTAGTTCCGAGTCTATAAAACTTTTATATGAACAAATTCAAAACTATTGGCAAGTAAATGATGATAATAACGGGGAAAATTTTCATCGTAGAATAGGAATATTATCTAATCATTCGAAAATGCCACAGCAGTTAGTTAGAACAAAAGAACAGAAAATAGATAAAACTAATCATAAATTTTGTCAATCTCGGGAATCATTTAATGAATCAATTATGCGAGATATTTACGATGATTTTCGTAAAAAATGTAAAACAAATTCGGTTATTGAAAATCTCCCGCCTGTATCCAATAAGAATGGGAGTGATCAATCGTTTTTTCGATCTACCTTTCCAGAAGTTCTTCATCTTTATAAAATATTTTCAGCCGGACAAATATTGAAAGCAGAAGATAGAGATCAATATTTACCTTCTAAATTTCTACAATTTAATAACAAGTGGCGTCTGTCTGACATAGAAACACTATTAATCGACATAATGATTGTGCGCATATTTCTTGAAATTTCAAAAAAACAGAGAGTACACGATAATATAGTACAAGCACTCATGAATAGTGTAGATTCTCTGGAAAATGTAGAAAAAAAAATTTTTGGTCATTCAGAAAATAAGGATAAACTTATAAAAGAAATTCAAAAGAGAAATGAATCAGCAAATAATAAACAGTTTTTTAAAAGTTTTCAAGTTAATCCTTTGATGAAGTATAAGGTTCATCCAGGTCTCGTCTCAGAGATAGCAAACAGAATCTATAATAATTCAATTAAAGAACCTGAAAATCTTAAGGAAATTGTTTCTTTAGAAGTTAAGAAAGTTAGATGTGAAGCAATTGAAGCTCTTTATTATTCTATCACAAAAAGGGATGCGACGCTAAAGGAAAAACAATTAAAACAAATTGAACAGTTTCAAAATGACAATGAAGAGAAATTTAAAAAATTTGTCATAAAAATAATGACAACATTTGCAGATAATGATAAGATTGACTATAAAAAATTGTTTAAAACGTGCTTAGAAGATCTTGAGAATAATGTCAATGTAGAAGAATCAGCAATTTTCATCTATCAACAATGCAAGGATGATAAAAAATGCAAAATATTATTCGATGTAAATGTTATTTCAAGAATAAGTTCTTTATTGAATAATAATTGTTTAAATGACCAGTCAAAACTATATTGTTGTATGACAATCAATAAATATCTTGAACATTCTAGTAATAAAGGTTTGAATGACAGTCAATTAAAAACTTGTATTTATCTAATTAACAATCAAAACGATAACGTTGAATTAAAAATTGAAGCTTTACATTCGATTTTATTGACTACTTTGAAAGATCAAAACATTCCGGAATTTATTATAGAAAGTTTAATAGAAAATATTAATAAATACAGTCAAATATTAGCTTATTTTGTTACTGCAACTTTAGAAGTTATTTCTCAAAGACAGTCAATATCAAATATGAATCAATTATGTTTGAAATTATTAGACGATTGTATACTAAATGAAGAAAGTTATATTTCCTTTGGTAGAAATTTATTAGATAATTCTGATTGTCCATCTATTTCATCAATAGTTGCTAAAATCTTTGTTAACAGTTTAAAAAATAATCTTAAACTTTCTGAACAAACTCTCGAATATCTTATTCAGGCACTGGATAGTAATGATAAACAAACACAAATTTTATCAGCAAAGTCTTTATATCTAGCTCGAGAAAAGCATGATTTTCATAATGACCTCTTAATTAAATTAAAAGATTATGTAGCTAATGAAATACCTGATGTCTCAGTTTATTCAACAGTTGTTTATGTACAAAATCTTGCAAAATTATCATCGACTGAAGAGCCTATTAAGCAATGC